GGTGGTGGTGACGTTTATGGTTATGATCGTTGTGGCTACGATCTGCTTGTCAATACGTAGTACATTTGCTCAATCGCCGATGTATTTATCAGGTTCAGGTGTTCTAGCAACAATGTTAGGGCTAGTATCTGGTTTTGGAATATGTTTACTAGTTGGTATACCTATGTGTCCATTAGTATTTGTCACACCGTTTTTAGTTATTGGTAAGAAGCATTGCTTGAATGTTTCGTAGGTACGAATATGTTTTCAATGCTGTAGGCGTTGGTACGGATGATATGTTTTTAATCTATTCGGCATATCGACGAACGAAATCATCGGATACAACAGTACAAAGACTAGCAGAAACATTTCGACTATGCGGTTCAGGTATCACGATTACATCGCTAACAAATGTCATTGCTTTCCTGGCGGGAGCAACAACGAACTTCTACGGAATACGTTTATTCTGTCTTTATACAAGTAAGATTTCTCAATAGGAAAAAACGCATATCGAATTAATATATCAATTCTTTCAGGCGCTTCACTCGCTTTTTGCTATTTCTATCAAATCATGTTGTTTGGTAGTACCATTGCTTTGTACAATAATTGTATTAATAACAATCGCCATACAGTCATTCTGTGTCTTACCGATCGTACGTCATCAACAGATAATCCAAAAAGTCGACGTCGTCACCGGCAACAATGTTTACCATTGAAAGGAATGTTTGTTTATATTACAAAACCATTATTTACAACGTATGGTCAAATCATAGTCTGCTCAATCTTTGTTATTTATACAATATTTGCTGTCTATGGAGCATTGCAAATGCGGGATGGAATGAAATTGGGACAACTATTGAACGATAAATCCTATGCCAAATTATATTATGATACTCTAGATGAAGAATTCGATATCCATCCATTAGTACAATTTATCATTACAGAACCTATACCTTATTGGAGACATGATTATATCAAGCGAATAAGAGATTTCATTTCCCAGGCTAAACAATTAGATGGTAAGAAAAAACGTTCTCTTGCACAAATAAATTCGAAGTTTTCTTTAGGTATGGATAAAAATTTTGAAATAGCTTGGTTTTCTCTCTTGGGCTACAATGGATACGAACATCCATTAGATAATGGAACACTGTTTATGGACACTATTCACGGCTTTGTCAATTTATTTCCTCCCTTCGCTAATGACTTGATATTTAACAAAACTCATTTATTAACTAGTCGTTTTTATTTAAAGTATGCAGTTGTTCATTACAATTCCAATGATGGTCGTTTAGTTAATCAATTGTATTCTCTCACCGAACAATCACAATTACCAATCAAAGGTATGAAAACGACTTTCAACAAAATCTAGTCTTAAAGTATCTTTCTGTTTAGTATACAGTAGTCTTTTCAAGTACTATGAACAAATGTACGAAGTTATTCCAAACATAATTCAAACATTTCTTATCGCTATCGAAGCGATGTATTTAGCAACGTTATTAATGATTCCTGATCTCAAATCTGTTATTATTATTATCTCTACAATGGGGATGATTTTGACGAGTCTTGTTGCAACATTACATATTTGGGGCATCCAGGCATCATCAGTTATGATGGTCGAACTAGTTATGTCAGTTGGATTTTGCTCAGATTTCTGTGTACATATTGTACACGCATTTTTGACAGGAACAGGCACAAGAAAAGAACGTGCACAACAAGCATTGATAAATATGGGAATGCCAATATTATGTGCATGTATATCATCCATTATTGGTGTTTTTTTTCTGGGTACTGCTCATTCATATTTATTTCGAACATTTTTCAAAACGATTATTGCCATTATGATCTTAGGAGCAATACATGCTCTGTGTTTCCTACCGGTTATTCTTTCTGTGATTGGTTCCCATTGGCCATCACATATGAATAACAGAATACAACACAGTGATACATATCAATTGGCGCCGATAAATACAAATGATACTCAGACAAGTGGGAATTTAAATGAAGAAATTCTCTTGACAAGAGAAAAACTACAAAGAACATCGAATACAATTGAAGAAGAAGAGGATAAAGATGAGTTGATGTCAACAACAACAAAAAATATTGTTTAATCCCTATATTTATTTCACATCTATTGTTTTCTTTTTGTGTATGAATATGATAATAATAATAATGATGATCTTTACTTTATTATAATAAACCAGTCAACAAAATATGCTCACCCCATCGTTAGTACTCTATGAATTGTGAAACTACTTTATCGGATTAGTGAAGATTATCAATTAGATCTTGTCATATCGTGCAGGCATATCTACTATTTCTGTCGAATAGACAATATAATTAGCCATATCTCGAAAGCACAAAATCATTCCTATAATGCACACTCCAATGTACTCATGAGCTCGTCTTTGCACATGATTACACGCAGAGTAGATCACTATCGGTTTCTATAAATAAATCAAAAGATACATCCTGTATGTTGAATTTTGTACGCAGAAATTCGGAAATGACGGTGTTAATTGGGAAATTCATTCTAAGTACGCTTGAACTGCGTTTGATTTCTTCAAAAGTCGCGCTCGTAAATTAGTGAAATAGGATATAATTATTACCTACGAGTCCGATTACACTTCTTTCAATGGGTTTTCTTGTACTGTCTAACATCTTAACTCACATGTCATACAACTACACCTTGGTATCATAAAAACAAGCAAAAGAAAACGGATTATGTTTATCTAGCCGTAATAATATTGTTATTTCCAGTAGAAAAAAACTGAATTATTTCTAGATGGTTGATCGAAATCGTGCTATTTCTGTCTTAATAATACTAGAAAGTGAAATATTATAAACAATTTAGTGTCCAATAGTGATCAAAGTCCTAATTACGTACGTACACACGAAATGTTTTGAGAAATTCTTTTATAGTGTGTTGTAAACTTTTATTGAGCAACAGTGAATCGTAATGAAATTCGCAGATGAAGCAACCTTTGAAAATATCTAATACATGTATAATACGAGTGTTGTTTTTTTCTGGAAAAAGTACCATAAAAGAGCAATTAGTTGAATTCTTATTATTGTAACGACATAATCATTTTTCTCCATTTCTATGTTCGTTTAGGAAGGAGAGATATGAAATGTCTGAGCACACATTCATGTTTTTTTTCTTTGATCTAATTAGGAATTTAACGATTCTTTGCATTTCAACTTTGATGGAAATTCGAACTGCAGGATTCTGATTGAATCTGAAGTTTTTTTTCTTTATTTGATAACAAAATAAAAACAACCTACTCATTGTACTTTTGATCTCAAATACCTGTAGGATATTGATTTTTATTTTCAATATTTGTCAAATTTCAAATCGATTGTACATATTATTCTTTCAACATCATTCTTAATCAAATCTATTACCAATCAGAATGCATGAATTTATATATGCCCATCCATCTCTCTCTCTATATATATATAGATTCTGTTCGATGGATGACAGATGACATATTCTCCTTCTCCTCTATTGTGTTGTCGATTCTCGTTTGCACTTATGTAGGCCAGCCTGTTTTTCTGTCATTCACCACGAACAAAATGCTAGCTATGGATGTTCAAGTTTCTCCTCTTCTAAGATCTAAACAACCTAATTAATTAATGTTCGGCAAGTAAGAAAGTTTTGGCATGTGCAACGGTTTTACGTTTTTCAGTGTCAGCTGCAAGTAACGGATTATTTTATACTTAGACATCGAATTATCATCTTTGCACTTTCTGAAAAAGTAAACCTGTCAAGGACAGATTTAATTCATGTCAATATTGCATTTTCATGATCGATGTATCGATCAACACGTTATATTTATCGAAAAAGAGAACGAAATCTTTCTTTTCATCCAAGCAATATTGGATATGACAATCTGTATAACAGACCGACGTTCTTTTTTCGGAGTGTTCCTATGGCTTGTATAAATAAGTTTGTTTTGACGATCGTAGGGAGAAAGAAAAGAACGAATGAGTCACAGTTATCGTTATGAATAATCTTATTTTTCTGCTGATTGGTAATTTGTTACTTGCCGAACTTTTCGTACGTGAACGCCGTATTTATCATTGATATTACATCATGTCAGGTCAAAAGAAAATCGTTTGAAGAAAGTTAAGTGTAAACATACTTTTAGTGCGAGAAAAAAAAAGACTTATTAGTAGCAATAGAAGAGAATACAAAAAAAAAGCAAGCAGGGCAAAATATAGAAGAAAAATAGACGAGGAAACAACAACTACAGGATCTTAAGAGCGAGTCTTCGGAAAAGAGGAAAAAGGCCAATATGATAGATGAAAAAAAAAGAAGTTTGAGTGTGTTGCTTCGCCTCGAGAATTCTTCTGTTTTTCCTTTCTCGTAGTCAAACCAAATGAAAATGATGTGTAAAACATCGAGAGCGAATACTAATATCCTCTTTCATATATATCTACGAACAGCATCCTTGACACGGTCAATGTGTAATCACTAAATTGATACGTATCGCGTGCGATTTTATATAGGAAGTACTATGAGGGAAAAAAACATAGGTTCGAATAACATTCGCGATACACTTGTTCGAGCAAAACCTTTTCCTTTCATTTTCGGTACGGAGACTTTGTTTTTTTTTTATTGGCAATCCATGTGCATACATAGTTAGTTTATTTTGCATTCTCATGCAGAACAGCTATTCGTTCGTCAAACTTTTATCCATTCTACACAACTGAGAGATATATACATCTATGCTTTTGACTTATTTCGATCATGTTTATTTATCATGTGCTTCATTTTAGATCATAATGCTTGTATGTTTATTATCGAATAGTACCGAAGCTAAACAAAATGCGTTTCACTAATCCAATGTATACTCGAACTTGGACTAAAATGTTTACACCTATATCAACATTTATCACACAAATGAGTAAGTATATATCGAATACTTATGAGTAACGAACGCGCTCTCACCTGTTAGTTTATGCACAGACAATATATACGAATATTACTTGCAATTTTTCATTCTTGACAAACTCGAAAAATGCATAGTCATGGTCTTTTCCTTCTAGGCAAACAACTTGGCTTTCAGACGATTTTCGGTAAAGATTCTATTGAAGATGAAACTTTAATCAAAATGGACACCATACCTAATGGACATGTTACGCATACTAATGAACTAAATCCATCATCGAGTGTTCTTTCTACATTCTTATCTAATTTCACGTTTATCACTCGTCCGCGTTCATTATCACAATCAAGAACATGGAAATCCTACCAAAGAAAGCAACGAAACGGTCTGATTAAACATTCAGAAAAGAACACCTTATATCATCAGTTGTCAATCGAAACGACCAATGATGAAAACAACAATCAAACGAAGACAGACAGCAATGCTAATTCAGTTCTTATCGATCTTCCACCTCGAACATCTTCCGAATCAAGTGATGATACTGATAAATCCATTTTCACTCTCGAACATTTCCTTTGGATACTTACTGTTACGCTTTGCTATTTTACATGGTTTATTTTTATTGCTGGAATATCATTTATCCATGTGCTTCTCTATCTGATCCTTATATCACTTTACGTTCTCTCAGATCGTACACGACGGTTCGCGTTAGCTATTTTGATTTATTTGACTTATTTACTTTTATATGATGCATTACACTTAGTACCAAATTATACGATATCAAAGGTACACATTCTCGATGTTTACTTAATTGAAAAGAAACTTTTCGGTATTTATCACGACGGACATTTAATGACATTAAATGAATATTTTCGATTGAAGCATATTCCATTTTTTGATGTTCTTTCGGGCATATGTTATCTTAATTGGTAAGAAATTCGATATTGATTGACTTGAGTTTCAAAGAAGTCTTTGGTTTGCTTTGTCATTTGACTAGAAAGAATGAATTTCGAAAATATCTTCATCGAAAGATACGCAAATTCGTAATTCTATTCAAATCTCAATTAATCTATTTAAGAATGAGATAAAGGATTATCATTGATTGATTTTCTCCTTCTAGGATTCCAATACCAATTACATATAGTCTCTATCTTTATCGATATAAGAGTAAACGAGATTACATCGATTTTGCATTTACATTTCTCCTAACAAACATTCTTGGTTTTATTATTTATTACATCGTTCCAGCTGCGTAAGTCATTTTCATCGTTTTGCATATATTAGATTTCGTTGTTTAGACCACCATGGTATGTTGCATTGTATGGATTCGATATGAATATGAAAGCGCCTGGTAGTCCAGCTGGTTTTATTCATTTTGATCAAATCATCGGAGTGAAAATCTTCTCGTCAATGTATTCGAAAAATGCTAATGTTTTTGCAGCTATTCCATCGTTACATGCAGCGTATCCAGTAATAACTGTTCTCTATGGATCGCTGAGCAAGAAACTGTGGCTTCATATTGGTTTTGTTATATTTACATTGGGTGTTTGGTTCTCAGCCGTCTATTCTGGACATCATTATGTGATCGACGTACTTGCTGGCGGTACATGTGCTCTAACAGCATTTCTACTATATCGTCTTTTATCTCGTCAGCCGATGATCAATCGATTACTTGTTGCATACAGTAAATTAATCTAAATGACTAACGCAATTCTTGCAAAACAAATCCTACGTATTTTTTCTTCTTCCTCTTTCCTGATAAAATGTGAACGAAATTAATTTTCTTCTCACATGAATTCGTCAGATGATTGAAACAAAGTAAAAGATCACAAACTGCTCGTATGTTGTTCTCTATTGTTTTTTTTTAAATATCAATAAAAAAATTAGGAGGAACACCAAGTCATCGCTTACCAAGATAACTTCCGCTAAGAAGAACTCTATTTTTGTTTGATCTCGGAAGTACGAGAGAAAGAAAAAGAAACATGTACTTTTCTGACTTTATTATTGAATGACCCGAAAAGTTCGTAGGCAAAATGCTTTCAAGTCATTGGCCTGAAAAAGTGCGATGCTTAAACAGTTCACGGATTGTCAGAGATTTCTTAGTCTCTAAATAACTGATTTAAGTTATATTGGGACTATCATTGAAAATGAAACTTGGAAGTACGTCTCATGAATAAAACAGAACGTTCAATTAGAAAATTTCCCAATGGTATTAGATATAAATCAATATCAAGCTATATTATCGCCTTGCCAAAAGCTCATATCATGATAATTTTCGAGATTATTTTGGCTTTGTCAAGTCTAATTAAAATCGTATTGTTTGTTGAAAAGAAATAAATCAACCTAGTCAATGCCACCGAGTAGTTCATACCATACGTGACCAGATCGTACTCAGGAGACTACGCATCAGCGACAGAAGACATTCTGCATATTTATTCGACAATCCTTCGGTGAAGATGAACGTTAAATAATTGTACTTTGTGATTCCATATGTGCTTTGAATTTCAAACCATTCCTTGATTTCTTTCCATCGTGAAACCTCAATTAAACATGCTACACCTATTTTTCACTGGTTATGCTTATGTCCAATAGGTAAACGTATGTCATTTTATTTATTCTCTCATTATTATTTTTTCTTTTGTTCTGTTCTATGTTATGTTTTCTTCTACCTTTAGTGAAGAAAAACGTTTTTTTTTCTTTTGTGTTTTCGCCTACTGGCCAACTCTTTCGGCTGTTTCTCACTCTCTCATCTGCTTTTGTTAGTTTTCATTTGAGATGTTTATTTTGGCTTTTTCATCATCTTTGCACAAAGCAACCGTCTTTCATTCGACTGTTTCGATACATACGAAAAAACTCAGCTTACGCATTTGTTTGTCACAACATCTCGAACACTTCACTAAGTGTATGGCTGTTTCTTTTTTCTAATCAACGTTAATCGCGAGTTGATTTCGATAGTGACCTCTGTCCCAAGTCTAGATGCTTGTTCAAGACAAGACAAGACAAGGCCAAATGAAGACACGTGACTGTAGATTAGATTAGAAAAAGATTTCTGGCAGGTAATTTATTTCGGAGATATGTTACTGACAGGAGTATTATTTTTGTTTGTTGTGCATGACTATGATTATTATTATTACTATCGAAGAGCAAACGAAGAGAGAGAGAGAGAGAGAGAGAGAGAGAGAAAGCAGATAGGTAAAAGGTGAGTACAATGAAGTTTACCGAGATGCAGAGAAAAAGAGGGAAAGAGAGATCGGAAAATGTGATAAGTGGTGATTAAACAATTTCTCGGTCCCTTAATGTATATAATTTCCACTTAGCATATTTGGTCTTTTTCTCTTTGATAGAACATCGAAGCAATAAAAAGAATTGAATGACTCATTTGACTGACTGGCTCAGGACGTCAGAGGTTCTATTTTTTTATATTAATATTCTACAGTATACATATATATATTCGTGCTTGCAGTTGTTCCCTGCTCTCTATTTTATATGTAACGGTAAGTCTATCCACCACTTTGTATTCACACGATCGTTCTAGTCATTTCGTCTAATAGTAAAGAGTTATATACACATACGCTATGTATGTATAAAACAGTTCATATTTGCATGAGAGTTTACTTTTTTTCTAATTACATGGTAAATATCCATCGATAATCAGCTTGTCGTCAATCATCGCTCTAAACAAACTGGCGACCATATATATATATATGTGTGTGTGTATACATAAATCTTTTGTTCCGTTCTTGCCATCACATAGCGAATCCTTTGTTAAGTACCTTCTGGGTAACACATGCATGTACTTAATACATTTTTCTTATTAGACATCATCGAGCAATTTCTTTCAGTTTACGGTCTGTCTGTCTACGAGCTAGATTTTTTGTTTGACTTTTTTGCATCGATGATCGATCGCATGTTTGCATCTACTTTTTTTGTTGAACAAAGGTGATGCAACGATCATTGAAGTCAAATAATTACCAAACATGAACTTGTTTGGTAGATTAAATTCGAAACATGTTTCACGTAATGAGGATATCTTGTGTTTATGATTATTATTAATGTCTTTCTACCAATTGAACTTTATAAAACTAGATGAACTGTCTCTTTGTTTGTGAGAGTGATTTTCTTCTTTCTCTTTCTCCTCAGTTCATTCTTTTGATTTGAACTTGTACATGTAGAAGTGAATGTAGGTAACATAGTTTCTTTTTTTTCCTCTTCTACGTACATAGACGCAAAGGTTGAACTGTCTGTGACATGTCACAATAGAAGTCGAACTTTTCTTTTGTCGCATTCGATTTTTTTTTCTTGGCCATTCTTTTAATTGGCCTGCTGTATGGACAGAAAAAGAAAAGGGAGAACATGAAGAACGAGGCATAAAAAGGTGAAGATTGCATCGTTAACATGTCCTGTCCTTTTGTGTAGTGTGATAGTAGATAAATACATATCGTTGTGCGAAGCTGTATTCATCGATAAATTTCTTTTCGTTTTTTTCCTTCAGATGTGTCTTTTATTTACCAGAGTATGAGATTTATGTTTGCCATCAATAGAACGCTTATTCAGAATTTCAGCGATGGATATCGATTTAAAACAAGTATTTTCTATTCTTGACGAAAACGACGAAGGACAAATACAATTACGTCGTTTTGTGGACGTTGCTAATAATTATTATTCCGACGCTGAAGTAAGTTCATTTAAAATTTAAATCTAACCAATTATTCTCAAGTGAGCTTGGGAGTTGGAAATATGAACCGAATGGAGATTTTGTTCTCTTGCATTTTCAAGTATTACACAAAAGGCCATCGTTCGCTTTGATCTTCGTTATGATATTAAATGACAATGTCTTTCGTTTTTCATTTCTAGCAATTGAATCGTATTACAAAAGCACTAGATCCAAGTAATACTGGTTTAATCAATTTCGAACAATTTTGCGACGGAATCGCTCAAATAAGTTCATTACAAGGCCTAACGCTCAAAGAAGTCGCATCTGATTTAACACGCCGTAGCCGAGAAAATTCATTGGTAGAAGATTCAGACCGTCGAAGTTTGGTAAGCAATGCTTTCCTTTTTTTTTGAAATATTCAGTACTAAGAAACATCAAAAGAAAAATCGCTGAGAAAAAAAAACACGTTCTTTTCTTTTTCTGTAGAAAACGAATAATGGATTCGATTTTTCTTCCCTATCTTCTTGGCCTAATCTTCTACAAGAAGAGGTGATAAACAAATAGATTCTGCTTTCTTTTTCTTGCTTGTTCTATCTAGATGGTTTTCTTTTCGTTGCTTTAAACCATCTGCTATTTGTTCTCTTTCCATGTTTCAGAATCAAGACGGTAGTACAACAACTTTCAACGAATACGACGTCGAAAGTGACGAAGCATTCCATCCTCCTAATCACAAATCACATACATCCAGCACTCGTACACCAAATAGTACAACGAATACAAAGAAACCCCATCACAATAATCGGAACAGTAATCGAAATAGTCAATCATTATCACCAAGATTAGATTCACCCTTGTAAGTTTATTCTTATATTTGATTTAAAATAAGATTCTGTCAGTTATGACATTAAGTCGGAAAGAGATTTGCTATTTATGTCCATGCTTGAGCTAAACTAATAAGTACATCTTGCAGCAAACGAGCTGAATTTGAACAATGAGATATTTATTCGAGAAGTATTTCATCGATCTCAAGTGAAATCAATTAACATCTCTTGAACAAAGTAAACTCTTGAAAGGTTTCAATGGAACTTTTATACATTTTATTCGATAACTAAATGCGATGTTTTTCGTATCATAATCAATGTGTCTATCTAGTTACGGTGACGACGAAGAATTCACTGGTGTTGCTGAACCAACCTCTAGTGTCTACTCACCCGAGACAGTTTACCCGCGCGCCCCATCGCAACGTGTAGCGTATGTTTGATTTCAATCTTTTCTTCCTCGCTTTCATCATCGTGTCATTTGTAGTCAAAATTTAAAACGAAATAGTTATTTGCAACCCGTCACACCTTTAGAACAGCCCGAACAACAATTACAAGAAACAGTATGTAGAAATAGAAATGACATCATTAGAGAAAAGAAAATGACGATGAAATGCTGCAGGTTGACGAATTACAAAAAACTGTTGAGACTTTAACAGAACAAAAAGAAAAAACAACTGAACGCTTAGCGAAAATTCAAAGTGAAAATACCGATTTAAAGAGCAGGTAAAGAAAATATTCATTCTCAGATAATATTCTATATCATTAATGTAATTCACATAGATTATTAGCACTTGAAGATCGTTTTCACGATCTCGAAGGCCAACATACGCGTACGACACGAAGTGAACAACAAAAATACGCCGAGTTTATCGTAAGTAAAAGAAACAAAAATTGTATTCTATCGTAAGTTTCTCATTTATTTTCAGACTCAAAAAGATCGTTCGTTTCTTCAAGAAAAGGAAATCTTACAATCAAGGTAAATTTCTCTTCTCCTTCGTCTTCTAATTTCAAAATATCATTTCCATTTAACAAATCATTTTCTTAATTGATTTCTTTTTTAGCGTTATGAGGTTTGTGTGCTTATTGGTTTCTACTCAGGCACATTTCCCCCTTTATTTTAACCTTCTTCTTGTAATTTATATACGTTGTCTGTGTGTACTGAACTGAATAGTTTCTTCTTATTATTCTAACTGTAGCTCACATATTGTTAGATGTTCCTTGTATTTTAACATTCTGAAAACTAACCTTGATGACGATGCGTTTCAATCTATCGATGACTTTCGTTTTAGAATCAACGCAATCGAAGCTGAACTTAAACAGACGAATCATATCAATGGTCAAATGAAAAAAGATGTCAACATTTTGAAAGACGTAATTGTTTAAACTAGTGGAATTCCTCACAACTCGTTTGATATTGTTTAGAAACTCGAAGATGTCGATGTTCAATTACAGGAGAGTCAAGTTCGCTGTAATCATTTATCTGAAGATAATGAGAAGCTGTTAGAACAACTTCGTCTTCAACGCGAAGAACTCGAAGCAGAAAAGTTAACGAACGCACAAGTATTATTCAGTCTCGATCTTCATGTAATACTATTCTTTCATTTAGCTTGCTGAACAATTGACATCACGTAAGACAACTGGCCGTTCTTTAACGGGTACGGAAAGCGTTCTCAAATCATCGGAGCTACGTATTCAAGAGCTTGATGCCCAAGTTCAATCATTGAAATTGGTATGCGTGTCAATTGTTGCTGATCATATTTGTTGATGTCCTTCTTGATAGGAAAATCAAAAATTGAAAAATGAAAATGAAGAATTACGTGAACGTGCTGTTGCTTCGTATGTCTTTCTAACGCTAGAATGACTTTGTTCAATTTTGAAATGAAATTCTTTTAGTGGTATCGATGAAGGTCGACGGTTGATGGCAAATCCAGACAGTCTTTCCTATGCTGCGGAACTTGAAGTCCTTTCTAAAGACGAGGTATGTACATAACGCTGCTCAAAATTTCATAGCCAAAAACATTTAACAGCAACCATCTGTTTCTCTGTACTAAAAAAAAGAAAGAAATTTCTGCTCTATATCAAGGTGTATTGTTTTAATCTAAATCTTTGCAGCTCATGAGTAAACTGAGAGATCAATATTCCATAAACGATCGATTACGAGAATACATCGAACGAATGTTAACTGTTATCATCGAAAACAATCCCCAATTACTCGAAGTAACAACGAGTAGTGGTGTATCAATTGGTTCGATGAGTATGTCGTCACTGACATCGCCAAATCCTCGACCAGTTCTGCCAGTCGTGACCAGTTCAAAGCCATCGTTACAACCCACGGAATCCGTGCAAAGCGATACATCCTCTACAACAATCAAGGAACCGACTGACAAGTATTGCCGCCTGTAACGTCGAATTCCTTCTTCATTTGTGCCTAACGCTTCTGTGATTTATTCTAACTCAAGCCATCTCATTCTCTCGTATGCGCTTCCTCCTTACTTCTCCCGGCATATTTTGTAGAGTGCCTCTACCTTCTTTTGTCCGACATATAAATATCCTCATAACTTATTATTTTGCATGCTTGTTGTCTTCTTCTATACTTTAGCACCATGTTATCCCACACACCTATATATATTCTTTCACTCGATGTGAAATAGCAATTCTCGAACAAATATTAATATATGGTTTTGTTTTTTCTTTTAGCTCATAAGCATGAATCGACGTCTGCGTGAATATATCGATACATTATTGGTACAAATTCTTGTCAATGATCCAACTATACTTGAAAAACAGTAAAGAAAACAAAATAAACTATAAAGTTGTTTTCTTATCCTTTTTTTATATGTACAGTTTTTTTCCCGAGAATGTTTGTGTGATTATGAGCTCATTTGATTGTTTTTTTCTACATCCGCAAAAATTCAACGCTTTCTTTTCATCACAAGTCGCTCTTCGAGCGAATATTTCATTTTTATATTCCGTCTAAACATTTTGTTTTTCCGCCTATTCTACGTGCGATCAGTATACGATCATTCCACTGTTAATCAAAATACGTCCACAATTATTAGAGTTATCCCATCTGTGTATGCGTTTTCGTTGTTTTTTCGGAAATCTTTGTATGAACGAAAGATTCTTTTTTTTTTCAAAGAAAAAAAGCACCTTGTTATATCGCGATTTTTTTTCTCTTGCTTGGAAACTAACTGTCCATTCCGGTTGTGTGCGTATATATATATATCTTGTATAAAAGCAACAAATAAAGAAGAGCTGGTTTTTGATTTTTAACTAACAATGGTTTCTTACGACTGCCAGAAGCAAAAGATGTCAGACGAATGAATGAATGAATGAATGAATATACGGGATTTGATTGGTGGATACATGACGCCAAAATGAGACGACGACGAGAGTTTCTCATCGATGAATCATTACTTCCAGAATCCTTTATTTCATTCTTTGTATAAATATTTCTGTCGATTTTGTTTTTTTAGACTCTACAATAAAGTAAATCATGAGTTTTCTTGGTAATCTTGGCAAAAAGGCTGTGGAAAAAGCCTACGATCTCGCGTCGAAAGTTGAAGGCGGTCGAGATTATCTAACAACTGCAGCGAACACAGTGAATTCATTAGTCAAAGGCAAGGATGCACGGTAAGTCAATGAATAACGTTTAGAACGAAGTATATCTACTTTTGTCAAATTTCTTGTAGTGTTTACCTTAAACCTGGCAATGTCGTACAATTTATATCCCGTGCATCTGCTCGTTCCATACAAATCGTTGTTGCTAAAGATACAAATGAGTTAATCTGTGATGCGATCGGCGGTACTGGTTCATTTTTTCCTAATGCCTACTGGTTGGTCGTCTGTGGTCAACATGGTCGATATTACTTCCACAATAACTATAATTATCTTGCAATTAAAAACGGCAAAATTGCAATCATTCCATCTTCAGTCGGTGAAAAGCCACCTGCTGAAGCCGAGCTTCGTGTACAAGATGTATTAGGTTCTGCTCAAGCTATTTATCTTGAATCAGTTCAAACGCCGGGATATTTCATCAGCTTCGATGAAGATGGTTCTACTGCAGATGAAATCAAAATTAAAACGAAAGAAAAATTTTCTCAATTCGAAATTCAATTAGTAAGACATAGTTGAGTTAATTCGAAACTAATGTAAAGATTTTATCTGTTTAGATTGCGTATGGACCGGGTATTCAACCAGAAAAAGATGATCACACACTTGAAACATCGAATGAAGCTTCGCCACCATCTTATTGGGCTGCAGCTGCTAATACTTCAACCTCTCCGACTGCAAATCGACAATCTCAGATTGGTGATGAAACTACTTCACCGAAATCATAAACTCTGACAACAAATGTAATTTACAACGCTTCTTCTTTCCTCTTGCGTAGTCAAACATCGATATTTCCTTCTTCTTTTCTTTATTATATCTATTTTATATTGTATGTAATGTGCCAGACAAACACTTCTTTTTCGCGTTATATAAAACATGTTAAATACAAAGAAAAACTTATATTTGAGTTCAGATCGAAACAATCTACTATTCAACTAACTACTGCGTATGTCTTACTCGTTAAGTGCAGAGAAGGATATGCAACGGAAATTGACTTCGAAACCGCACTGAAGACATCTGGTAGCGTCATCTGTTATTGTTGTCTGTCTCGATTGGTTCAAATATCTTTCATTGTCAGCCAGTTGAAGACTAAGAAGAAAAAAGAAAGCAATCACGATACAACTGAATACATTTGAAACTTGTCGTTGATTGACCTTTTTTTCAATAACTCAATCAATGAAATATTAGTATTTTCTTCAAAGAATTCAGATGTTACTGCATATCCAGCATCTCCATGCGGACTTTATCTAATCAATTAACTCATGCGACATTCATCAACAGCCAATCATGATAGTGATCATAACCACGCATCAACAACAACAACAATAATAAACGGAATGAATGTTCATAACAACAATAACCATCATCCTCCAAAGCGCTCATTAGAGGACTACGGTTTTCAAAGTAATTTCAAACGACGACGACATCTTTCACCACAAAATGCCAACATCGACATAAACAATGCTAATGATTCCACATCTTTGACTCCCATAAAGAAAAAAACGAGAACAAAATCAAAAAATCAATCGGTTTTAAATTCATCGTTGGAAGCAAACTATGAACGGAATTCAATCAACGATATTCAGACACCTCGTGTAAGTTTCATAGACGAGTATATCGTATATCATTGAAATCTATCAATCATTCGTCTTCGACATTGTCAGTAATTTCTGTGAAAAAGATTTGTCTGTACATCATTGATAGGCATCACAAAAGTTTTAATATATCGAAATGAGAAAGAAACTTCTTTTTTTTCGAGATCTCTCATAGCCAAATCAAGTTATGCTATCAAAGCGAAGATATTGACAAGGTCATAAGAACAGCACATGTTGTTTTCATGATAGTTTCTTCCTTGATGTAATTATCTATATCGCGTAGAAGATATTTTGGTACTCATGAAAGGTTTTACTCTCAGTGTAATGGATCAATTTGAATAAATATTTTGTTTCCTCTCTTGACTTAGAAAACATCATCTCGACATGCGATTTCATCTCAGCAAATGACTGAAATTAGTTTACCTAATTGGCAAAACATATGTCCAAATATTGATCAAATACTCTCGAATAAACACACGCAATCTGGTGTATTTGCACATGAAGTTCAATTGGTTCAACAAGAATTAGAAGCACTTCTATCAATGTCGATCGTTAGAGAAAATATTCTTCGAGATATTTGCAATCCACCTGCGAATAATTCGGATACAATACGTTCGAAAATTCGCAAACATCAAGAGGCCGAACGCGTCTATTCGTCAAAGAAACTCGTGAAAAAGCCATTACCATCGTTAACCAATTCTCATCATCATCATCATCATCATCAGCGACAGAATGCGACACATGTCCTACTTGACAGACAAGTAGCCATGCAACCAATACTCGGCGCACGTATTGATCAAATCTGGTCGGATATTAATACGTATTATCGTAAAATATCATCAAATGATATATCTACGATTGAGAATCTAGTCGAATATCATCAACATTTAGAAAAGAAATTCGAAGAGATAAAGTCGAATTACGATGAGCAATCGAAGTTGATCGAAAAATTAACCGAAGAAAATTATCAACAATTAATCGAATTCTCACAAGTCAATCCATTGGTAACGCATTATGTTGATCGAACAACATTAGGATCATTTCAATCAAAGATTTACGAACATATGGGACGAACGTCTCCTGTTTATCGTACGCCGATTTCCAGTCCTATGCATGGCAAAGCCATAAGTAATCATTTTGATGTAAAAGATATCAATGCCGCTTTAAGAATTTCATCACGATTACATTCGAATGAAATTTCAAATGCTCGAACAGGATTATTTTCACTACCAAATGTAAGTTAACAAACGTCGGATTCTATTTGATAATCCAAACTGTTTTTTTTGTTAGATTAAAGTTGAAGACGATCCGGAAGCATCAGCATTGCCATTAAAATCGAAAAAGAAAAGCAAATTGATATCCCATCCATCATCAGCGATGAAATTTCAACAGCAATTACAATTAGTTCAGGATTATTTAACCGATCAACATCCTAACCCAACGGAAAATGCGAAAAGGCAATTATTTCACGAAATGAAGTCAACAAAAAAACGCAAAACATCTCTTTCTATATCCACACCAATGATAATCAACAATGTCGAGCCTTGTACAGATATATTTCAATCGAAGATATCGATGTCAATAGATTTATTACACGAATGTTCAACAATCAGTTCTTGTGCACTGAAACGTGCACGTTTACTATCAGATAATGAACAAACTTGGCAAAAACTAACGGCAATCGAACGCGATTTAGAAGCTTTAATTACTAAACTGAATGTCACCGGTGGTTATGCGAATAGTTCAAGTACGGAGAAAGCATTTCAGAATCTTGCTCAACTATTATCAGATTGGCAAAAATATGAAGAAGAATTTGACCAACAATTAGAAGAATTAGTGTGCATTGATCAATCATAGGCTAAGCCCGGTTGTTATTTTTCTTTCTTGCCTTGTTTATGTTTGTTCGGTTTCTTTTGTCGTTACACAGATATATGTATAGTCCATAGGTAAAACGCAATCATCTTACGTTGTATGTTCATTTCGATGCTCCCTGCTGTCCTATTGAGTTGATGATCACTATTTTCAGATGTTTTGAAAAAATGAGAAAAGGCCAAATGTGTTTATCTACTCTTCTATATTTTTGTCAATAATTTTCCTTTTTTTTGGCGTTGAAGAAAAACAAAATGTATTGTTTCGACCGATGATCTGTCTGTCATATAAAATACTCTATATGAAGTCTGTTTTTTTTCTTCTATTTAAGATTTTTGCTAATCGTTTCTCTTCATTCCGTTCATAATCGAGAAGCGGAATGTCAACCGCTGCTTCTCGGTATGCGGAGTACGGTTCAGCATGTCCACGATGTCAACAAATCATCAGTACGATTGATCTTACATTTCAACAAGGAATTTTCATCTACGATTTAACATTTATTCAACAAGAGTTGGAATCGGCTCTTGTTGCTGCTTTACAACGTGAAAATGAACTTCTACAACAAGATGGAAATATGTTAAAACTGCCATCTTCATCTATGGTACGATTAGCAAACGGTAAAAGTCCTCGAGATTTCAAAGCCGAACGCGAACGACGACGTAAAGCGCTTAGTGGACACGGGAAACGCAAACGTCGAATGAAAAAGACGTCTGCTCAATATCTTCTGAAAACTATTAAATGCGAACGAAAGCCAAATGGATTTTTCTCGCCGAAAAAAGATTCTTCCTATGCAAAAATGCGATCAGATAGTAATGGAAATTCTTCGCGACCAATCAGATCTTATCGATCGATGAATTTCACGTTTCCATACTGTTACGAGACTAACTATCGTAATGGTCATCAACAAAATTCCACAGGAAGCAAATTACAGCCAAATACACTTTCGAATCCTGATCAATTCTGGAGGAAAGTTATCGACAATCAACATGAATTTCTCAAAGAAAATGATTGTAATGAGATCGACAAAGTGTTCAACATGGACCGAGCATTGTTCAGCGATTTCGATTATGACAAAGACTTCGATCAATACAGAGAAACTATGAGTTCAACTGAATATCTTTTATCCAAAGACAAATATATTCATCCTGAAACCGAATACTCAGTTGTAATTAAGCAAAATTCTCATTTGTACAGTTTAGTTGAGAATATGACCAATAATAATCAATATAAAAATGGATCGACAACAAGCAATCATCGAATGAAACGGAAATTCTCTACCATGTCAAATGGTTCTAATTCAATGCAGATTGATCAATCAATTTTCGATTTGCTTCGACGAGATAATCAGTAAGATTTTCCATTCATAAACAATCTAGTTTAACAAACTGTTCATATTTTAGTGTTTTTTCATCGAAATATGCAGAATTACAACATCGTCTTGCTGAATGTCTCAGCATCGAACGTTTAGCACTTGATCGTGCACGAAAACAATGCAAAATGGATACGATCCGACTGGATTTGAGTATACTTGACGATAAAATTCTCGAAATCACAAATTCTATTCGTCAACGTAAACGTCCAAGTGAAAATGCCATATCATTATGTAAACCAATAAGTCCATTGGATAACAATTCTAATCAACAACAGCATTCGAATGGAAATAGTGAAAGTGATGCATGGCGAAAAGGTCGTCGGCAGTCAACACTTCGCGTTTACGATGAATTAGCACGATTGGTTGATGAACGAATCGAATTAGAAAAACATCTCATAGATACATATCCATTTGTATAATTACGACGAAATCTCTTTCTTATTTCACGAATCGAAGATTGGTGCTGAAGAAAGAACTGAAAATCTGACAGATAATCATAATTGGTAGTAATGTTTTGTCACGGAAAGAAAATACTCAATGTCTGACATGAATTCCATTGGAATCTCATTTTCACTTTTCTTTTTCGTTTCAATGTCAGATGTATATTGTGAGTATGTGTGTGCACATAAATATGTTTTCTTTTCTTTTTCGTTGTTGGTTTTGTTGTTCATCTCATCCTAATATTATTTCGCCATTTGTTTTAGTGTGTAACATTTAATTAATGTTGTATAATTCTAGGAAATTTCTTTTCTTGTGCATTATAATCACTATTTATTTGTCTTCTAGATTGAATTGGAGTTTCAATTAATGATTGTATAGGTAAATTACATTCATTATTGTTCATATTCGACGACCGAATGATGTCATGTCCTTAGTAGAATGAATGTCGGGTGAAATCTGATGGCTGAAAAACAGAAACGAGTAACAAATCATTCATCGTTACCACCGACTATGGATGAACTAAATCAACATTTCGATTTACATTGTCGTCGACTTCATTCAAACTCAAGCGATCATTTACCTTCGTCAACAGAATCTACACGTACACGACGTTGTCCTCCCATTGCTAATGAGCAAATCGATTTCTTCATCGATCATCCGCATTCAATATACAATCATCATCTTCTCCCATCATCGACACCAACGTCGACAGCAAGTCGAAAACGTTTCCTAGAAGATGATTCTCACATTCAGTCTCCTGATTTTCATGCCAAACGAACACGATGCGAACATCACATTGAATTAGAAAATCAACCTCCATCAACAGCTATCAAACGTCGGTCGGTACTTTTGTATCATGCAGGACAAGATTGGAATCATTTACAAATGACAAACGAACGACCTACTTTCTACAATCCTTTATTACCATCATTATCAACCCCGCATGAATATGAACAAAGTCTATCGAATCAATATACTCCTTCGAGTATACATAACGAATATCTGGCTAATCAACATTTACACATGTTTGAAAATGAAACATCATTCACTACAGATCCGAAAAGTACGTGTACCACTAACGTATATTAGTAAACTATACTTTCAATTTTAGACACAATTCCGAAATCAACTAAAACTATGGTTACAAGCAACAATGTGCGATTATTTTCACCGCAATCAAATGTGTTTAGTCCATTACGTACGACAAACTTCGTTCTTGACAGCAAACAGCAAACAATGAGTGCAACAATCATGCGCACAGGAAATATTTCACCTGCTCATTCAGACACTTCAACTGAATCGACATCGACATGTTCGTCGGATGAACAGCAATTTCGATGGAATTTTCCCTCGTTTCACTATCAACCATCACGTTCGTATCGCGAACGTGAAAATTACGAACAATTACTAGATCTAGCCGAGAAGTTGTCCGATCCAAATCGTTTCAAATCAGTTGATATTGAACACTTCGCTTCATATCGATACCGATCCATCCGGACAACTGATCTTTTATCTTCAAAACAAACAGCTTGTGTCATATGTATGTCTCATTTTAAAGATAATCAACGTATTCGAATACTCCCATGTCAACATGAATATCACTCGAAATGTATTGCAAAATGGTTTACAATGAATTCTTCATGTCCCATATGTCGACGAGATAACTTTCTCTCAAATCATTAATATGTACAAACAGAATCATTCATTAATCGAACATTTTTTTTGCTTTTCGTTTTCATTTATATATAACAGTAAAGATATTTTATGAGATTTTATTCAACAAAGGCGTACAGATGTATTTTCTTGATGTTTTGAGAGAAATTCATTTATTAAATATTTATTTCAAATACATTAATAGTCGAGTCATTTTGATCGATCAAGCACAAAACCGGCATTACAATCAAAAAATATGTATCAATATAAATAGCTGCCTAATTCGAATATATGTATGAAAACTTCAAAAATAAAGCATAGTTTTAGTTATTTATACATATCGTGCATACTCAGACACAGATCTATCTGTTTATGTGAGTTGTAGTGAGGTAACACTGAAATAAATCTATTCTTATCATTTCTTTTTTTACGAGATAAGGTATAGATGAGCTGTAAAGGAATCAAATTACAACTACCTCTAGTCTTGCTAAACATTACAGCTTTAGTTTTCATTTTCTTCATCTATTTTCGAAGATATAACCAACACCTGAATATTCATTTGTATTCGAATTTGAACTAGACAGCACGTGATTTATCTTCAAATTAAACTCTAAATTCAAAAATATGACTTCTGCTTCATCGGAATCACCAATTAGCTTGATATCTATCATATACCATATGTGTTCCATCTAACTTGCCACTTGCAATGTTTCTTCTGTATGAACACATTACACAAAAATTCTTCGAAATCATGAAACAAATACAATTTTGAAGAACATTTGTTTTTATCACATCCTCGTTCTTAAATCCACCTTGCCATTCATTTGTTATACTCATTTTCATGTGTAAATCAGCAATAACACATTTCAGACATTCTCGCTGACTAGGTTTTCTACTTAGAATATTAACAACTTACAAGAAAAAACAAATTTCTCAATGTTTGCCTTGTTTCTGCTTAACGTTTTTTTTTCTCTTCCTTTCACTTGATGTGTATGTTGTTTTTTGTACGTAAGTGTATCTTTCTTAAGAAAAAAATTAATCATCAACTAAACATGTTTCTCTGAGGTCACTTTTAAAAATGAAGTTTCTTCTTGTATATTCAAAGTTTTTTTATTAATAGCATTAGTACATGCTGTTTTACAACGGTTTTAACCTGAAGGAACGAAAGAAAAAACTAGACTGTTCAAGTATAAGAAGAGAATCTATCGGCGAAAAAAAAGATAGCCTAGGTCCATTTCCATTTCATGCAAAAGAAAAGGAAAAAAAGTAATGACAGAACGAAAAAGAATCAACTGTATAATTAAGAGAGAAAAAAGACACGTCGAGCATCATTCTCGTCCATATTCCCTATTTCTCTCTCTCGTGTTCTCTGCAAAAAATTTTTCTCTCGCAATGACTTGTTCAGAACGAACAAATGTCTATTCTTTATATTTAAAGAAAGCATACATTCTACGTACAGTTGCCGTGATGAAGTTGCTCTGCTTATTTTTGTTTATTTACAATGAACGAACACATACACAGATTCAATCTATGCCTTTTTCTAGATGATGATGACACGAAAAGATAATACTGTCAATAATCCTCTCTCTCAATCGTTGAGTAAGTCAAAAGAATCTTTATTTTTAGTGCGACAAACATCGAATAATTATTGTCTAGATTACAACACCTATTCAACATTTACTCATGATTATCATCATCGTCATAATCCTTGGGAAAAGCCGACGTATGCAACGTTTGCCTATCAACCCACACCGTTCACAATAGGAACATTATCTTCAACCGGTGATCCAATAAATAAATCTAGTGATTCATATTCATCATCGAATCTTAATCAGACAACTTCGAGCCTCTATCGACGCCATAGTATGTCAAGAATTAGTTTCGTGTAATACGGTAGTTTAACAATGTGTTTCTTTCAGCTGAATCAGCCTTGCCAACATCGACCTCAATTTATGCTACGTCCACAATGAATCATTTGCTGTCGAATCCATTTCATTACTCACACACACCGGCAAATTATCATTCGCCTGGACTTTTTCTTGGATGGAATAATGGTCCATCGCTAATGCGTACACAAAGTGCTTCATTTCGAGATTATCCACAACCAAGTAAATATCTATTGAAATTGGTTCGCAGATAGGAAAATTAGTTTATTTGCTCTGAGAGTATTCATTTACTAGCATATATGCGATGATTTAGAGTAACTATTATTTGCTTAAATAAAATATTGTACATGATGATTCCCGCTGTCGATAAGAGTGTTCGTATATGGTTTCGCTTCGATGAATATAGATTCTACATTACAACTTCTGTTGACTGATCCCTTAGGAATCTAAGCTGATGAGAGGTTAAAAAGATGATTGCTAGTTGAAACTCTCATTTCGTTCGAATGAGCAAATAATCTAAGGCTTGAGAGAAAAAAAAAGGATGAGTTTTCTCATCGTCTAATCTCTTCATTAACGAAATCCGAATATTTCTCGTGAATTGGTAAATCTGCTCTCTACGATGAATACATTTCTATTCTAGCTCTCTTCCCCCCTTACAATTTATCCGGTTCTTCAATTTCACAATCGACAACAACTACCAAATCGACTGAACGTCAACCATCCATACGGCCGATCAATGCACTGTTCAATTATGATTATTCTCTATTTTCAAATGGGATTCCATCGTCACATTTTCCATTGCCTTCATTACCACCTACGACTGCTCCTTCAAAATCTAAACGTTCCATTCCAACTATCAAACGACGTCCTCGCATAACTCCACAGCTTCGCTTTGAAATTCTCAAATTAAAAACTAATAATCCGACCATGTTCGTTTGGGAAATTCAACAAGCACTAGTACAGAATGGTGTTTGCACCAGTCAAACATTACCAAATGTAAATTTTCATCTTTTTCTCCCTTTTCCCTATCAAATCAATATTTTTCTTTCATTAGGCAGCAGCTATCCAACGTATCCTTAATGAATCTCCAACATCTAGTACTTCCATCAAAGATGCATATGAATCTCCATCGATTTTACCATTCTCCACAACACTAGATAATCTTCCTAAAGCGGAAGCTTCATCGTCAGTAACAATATGTCTATCTTCGTCGCCGTCCGATACAGAATCGACATCGGAATGTTCGATTTGTCTCGATACCTACCGTAGTGGACAAGAAGTTAGCATCCTATCGTGTTCGCATGAGTATCATTCGTCATGTATCCAAGAATGGATGATCAAGAATCGTTCGTGTCCAATGTGTCGAAAGGATATTCATAACCAACCCCAATTTGTTACTTTACTTATTTGATTTATTAAAGATTTATTTTTCTTTGTAAATACGACCGTGGATAACGATCAGATTCAATCGAAAACATGAAATATGAACTCTATCTACGGAGAATTTTTGTGATGTAAACGTTTCAATAGGTCTATCGAATGTTTTGTTTGTTTGTTTCTTGGCTTTTTTCTTCGTACAAAAAATAAAGGAAGATAATGAACTTACCTATCATATCTCGTGTTCCATGATGAGATAGAAACATTCCGTGATATACTAAAATGTCAAAAAAGTGCATTTACCGATGAAACTATGATTTACAGTTGATGAGTTTTTATAAATAGGTCTTCTTCGAGTAATATGATGCTAGACACTCAACTTGAAGTTATCAATTATTACAAAACCTTAGTAGCAAACCGTTCTTGATCACAGATATAAATATTTAATGGAAATCAAAGTTTGTTCGAAACTGGATCGTAGTCAAGTAACATCTGAAAGTTCTGAAATCAACACGCTATTTTTATAGAAAACGACAATTTATGAAGATGAATTAAGCATTTCAATGGATATCTAATATTTCTTTTTCTACTTCGAAATTTCGAAATGATAAACAATAATTTGTGATACAATGTAAACATAGACAAAATTCTCGTGTGTATAGTGAAAATTTCGATGTGTAGTTTGTTTTAATGTAGAGTAAGTCATGTCAAATAAAGTCTTTTCTAGGCCGTGGGAACAAGTAATGTGTGTTCTAAAAGAAGCAGTTCAATTTAACGGATCTCTGTTTTCTATTCGTGATACAGGAACAAAAGCATGTGCTTTCAACAGCACATTAACCATAATCTATTTTCAGTCTCTCACATTTCTGGAAATGGAAATTGACCAGAAATCAAATCATTCGAGTAGAATAATAGATTTTAAAGAACTAAACTATGATTTTCATGTGATAGTATAAATGTACTTATAAGAATTTGTCGTCTAAGCGATATAGAAATAAGATTATATTTCAATTCGCCTACCAATAGTTTTCTTCATCGAACATGACTGTTCGGGATGTTTTGTTTCCATTGAAAATGAAAATTCTCTAAAAACAATACTTGTACGCACTTTAAAAAGTCATTTTAACTCGTATCCATGGAAATAGTTTATAGTATTTCAAATATATACATACATTATAATTACAATTTTTTTTTGTTAATGAAATGAAGATAAGAAAAACTTACTTCTTTTCTCATTAAATTTCTGTATAGCAACGTGCTAGTTACGGTAAGTAAATGAAGTTCGAATTTGAGGTGAACGATGATAACTTTTGCGAAAGTTCTTCTTTTGCGATACAGTTCAACGGTTGAATCGTTTTGTCGTTCAATGATTATGTATGCTCGAGATATACACAATCTAAATGGATAATGTATATCAATTTCCTTCTTAAATGTCTTTAAATAATATCGATCATGCGAAAACAAAGCTCCTTTTTATTATGTTAAAGTTAGATAAGAAAAGAAAAATGCCGGAAAGACTAATGGATGGAAATGGAGATAGTTTTACTTTATTAAAACATTCTTCTTTTTTCGTTACTCTAACAGTTATCATTTGACTACTATTGTATCCAGTTTTATCTTGATTAAACTATCGACAATCTAGGTAAGTCAATGCGCATAGCCCGAAGGGTATCTTTGAAACTATGAAGATGTAGATGATTGTCGTCTTCCGCTCATTTTGTTTAGTTTTCTATTACTTCTATGCCAGGCAATTGTCGATTCATTTTCCTTTTCATAAATCCACATCTATTTCGTTCCCATTGCCTTTCTGATTGTGCGACCAATTGTATTGTCATCAATCGGATCAGATCATGTTCGATTCAATGAACACACTCTAACGAGAAAATGAATGACATTTGAATTCTGATTCGATTCTATATTTGTCTCTCTATTAATATTCAAAAGTCTTCTGTAAAGATACTTCTACAACGTTAATTTCGACAAATGAGAGCGCGAGAAAGTTTATTGGATGTCAATGCATGTTTTTATCAAAGTAAATCAATCAGATCTTTGATTGAAGATGTGTGATGTGTGTATGGTAAGCGTTCATCTTGTCGGTCCTTATTTCATCATTAATGTTCAACACTGATTGCGATCTTTCTCTCTTTGTCCTATTAAAAAGTGCGCGCGTACATTTTTTTTGTCGTCGCTCTCAATAATGATAAGTTCTTTGTAATTAGCTACGTACATACATACACACACTATCTCCTTTCTTCTTTCCTATTATTGATAGGCATAGGGCAGAC